TCTACTCTGGCCTCACCTTTGCCATGGTTCTTGGCAGGCTGCCACCCAGTGTCTCTCACCTCATTCCCAGAGCCAGTAGTGCTCACTGCCAGCAGCATCTCTACTTACCAGGGCATAGGGGCAGTGGGAAGGACTCACTGTGTGCCAAGCCATCCCCCACCCCTGGGTTAACCTTCAATCACCAGGAGGAATAAGTCATGATACCTCTGAGACTACAGACGTATTTGAGCCATGGGCTGCTCTGTGCCTGTCATGCGTAAAGGCCATGATGCCCGCAGGTCCTACACCTTGCCCACACCCTGGGTCCAGAGTCTGCCCGAGAGTCTCTGGCACTTTCGTCTCCACGTATGCCTTGTGAATCCACCCTGGTTCCCCAGGAGCCCAGGAGCACGTTCGTCCCCCAACACCAACCCTGCCATCTGCTCACTGCCATCTACTGTCCTTTATGACATATTCACATCCTTTATCCTTATAACAACCCAGGGAGGCAGGTGTTTCTTTCATTCCCACTTGTAGATAAGAAAACTACAAAAAGGAGATAAATGTGTGTACAGCTGGAAATGATCACTATTGCTGACAAGAAATAGTCTGAGAGAGATGGAGTAACTTTCTCAAGGACACAGCCATAAAGCCAGGCCTGGGCACGTAGATTTTCTGACCTCTGACCTTTGTTTCCTATTACAAAAGAAGCAAGCTGCCAACTTCAGGCTTTGGAAACCCTCTGAGCATCTATCTCTTCTGTCCACTGCTGGCTTTGCAGGGTAGCCTGCCCACCATGACCCTAGGGGCCAGCCCACATGGGGGCACTCAGAGTCCCAAAGGGCCGGAGCTGGGCCTGACTCATGTCTATATCCCTAGTGCCTAGTGCTCTCTCATTCATGCATTCAGAGTGTCACCTCCATAAAGATACCTGATGGGATGGGTCGAAACAGACTCGAGCCTAGCTCCCTAGAGAGTACAGTATGATGAAAAAGTTGATGTTCACCAAGAATTCATGAAACACAGTTTTTAATGATAGTGTATGACAGGTGCTATGCAGAAGAGGTACAGGGGTTTTGAAATGGGGAATATAACCAAGCCTGGAACCCATGAAGGATTCACTGAAAAGGGAATCCTTGAGTTGAGTAGACATCAACTGCGTGAAGTGGGAAGAGAGGAAATTATGAGCAAAGGCCCTGTGGCTGGGAGGAGGCTGGTGTATTTGAGGAACTGGAAGAGGGCTAGTGTGGCTGGAGCAGAGAGCAAGGAGAGGCTCGAATCAGCCTCAAACTTCTCCTGAGAGCAATGGGATACTCTGAAGGGATTTGATCTGCTTTGAGGTGAGTGCGTCCGTCCGTGTTGGAGGATTGAGGTGGATTAAATAGATTTGTGACTCAAGATCACTTTGCCTGCAGCAAGAAGAGATTTCAGGGACATAAGAGGAAGAGAGGTGAATGAGGAGATGTTATAGAGGTCTTGGTGACAGATGCTGGGGCTTGGACGAGGCGGGTGACTGAGAACTGGAGAGAAGTCAATGGGGGCATTTGAGGCACAGAACGAACAGGACTGCAGACCTGGAGTGGAGAGACTATTTGTCGAATGAGTGCCTGATGAACAGTTCAGAGGCCCAGGGCTTGCTCCCAAGGGGCTCCCCATAGCAGGGACTTCCTGGGGGTTGAATTCAATGGGGGTCCAAACAAGATGCTTCCTGGGACAGGGCTGGGTGTGTCACAAGTGGGGAGAGGAGGATTTCTCATCCAGGCCAGCACCAGCCAAAGAGCCAGGGCTGAGGCATGGAGGTGAAGAGACTCTCTCTGTCCTCAGAAGCCCATAAATGGATACTGAGGAGAAGAGCCAAGTCTGTCAGAGATGGGGAACACTTCCCTTACCGGCCTGGGCAAGGGGGAGGCAGTGACAGAGGGAGAAAGAAGCACTGGCTGCCAGGAAAAAACTCATCCTTGCTGTTATCTGAGCTCCAGGAGGGCCACCGCAGACAGCAGTGCAGGCAATGCATATGAGGTTGGTGTGTGCAGTTGTGCAGTGCCAGCAGCCCAGAGGATCGGCCAGTGGCCAGAGCATAAGCCCACATGGTCCCATACCATATAAGCTGCCAGTTGAGCCTGGCCAGCCCAGGTCCCTTCCCTGCCCCCCCCCCCCAGCCCCCGCAGTGGCAGTAGGGAGAAACACTGCCCCCTGGAGATATGAGGAGGAAATGAGAGAGAACATAGGCCAGGTACCCACCAAACTCTGCATGCCTGACCTCTGTCTATTCCTTGCTCTGACTCACACTGCCTTGCTCAGGCCTTGTAGAGACCCCTGCTCCCACTCAGAGAGAAATTTCACTTGGAGATGGACCTAGAAGCTTAGAAAGTTCCCAAGGTGATTCGGGGAAGCCACAATAGTTGGTACTAGATCATTTTTTTCTTTCCCTTCACCTTAGGGCAGGGATATAACTGGAGCCCAAAGGTGCAAGAGCACTTGGCCGTGAGGGCCCCAAACAGACTGGGCTGGGCCACTCGCTGCTGACAAAACCCAGAGGCAGAGAGAGGTGGTGGTAAAACAAGAAAAGGATTTATTTCAGTGAGGCCAGCACTGGGAAGACAGGGGACGAGTAGCTCAAGGACTGTTTCCAAAGTGCTGAGAATATGTCCAGGTTTATATACGAAAGAGTGGGTCACAGGAAAGGTCTTGCAGGTAGGCAGGAAAGGTAAGGTTAATAACCATCTTGGGGTCAATCACGAAGGTTCTTGTGGCTGTCAGGGCAGTCCCTATTGCTTGGGGGGGGGTAATTACGGTTCCCATCACGAGATGGTTTTTGGGCATCTTTTGCCTGAGATGATAGATAAGCTGGAAAGTGGCACAGTTGGTTGGTCATCTGACTCTGTTTCAGCTCAGGTCATGGAATCAAGCCCTGCACTGAGCCACCCATCGAGCTCCACGCTCAGCACAGAGTCTGCTTGGGATTCTCTCTCCCTCTGCCTCTTTCCCTGCCCTCCACCCATGTGCTCATTCTCTCTCTCTCAATAAATAAATAAATAAATCATTTTTTTTTAAAAAAAGGAAGAACTTAATCAATTTGACTTAATCAAATTAGAATGTACAGACTGAGGTCAAAATGGAGGTAGCTGAAAATCTCATTCAGGGATATTTTTTCTTTAAGATTTATTTATTTAGGGATCCCTGGGTGGCGCAGCGGTTTGGCGCCTGCCTTTGGCCCAGAGCGCGATCCTGGAGACCCTGGATCGAATCCCACATCGGGCTCCCCGTGCATGGAGCCTGCTTCTCCCTCTGCCTATGTCTCTGCCTCTCTCTCTTTCTCTCTCTGTGACTATCATAAATAAATAAAAAAAAAATTAAAAAAAAAAAAAAAAAAAAAAAAAAAAAAAAAAGATTTATTTATTTAGGGATCCCTGGGTGGCGCAGCGGTTTGGCACCTGCCTTTGGCCCGGGGCGCGATCCTGGAGACCCGGGATCGAATCCCACGTCGGGCTCCCGGTGCATGGAGCCTGCTTCTCCCTCTGCCTGTGTCTCTGCCTCTCTCTCTCTCTCTGTATGACTATCGTAAATAAAAAAAAAAGATTTATTTATTTATTCTAGAGAGAGAGAGCACAAGAGGGAGGGGCAGGGTTAAAAGGACACTATGTGGAGCCCAACCTGGGGCTCAATCTCAGGACCATGAGATCACGACCTGAGCCAAAACCAAGAGTCGGATGCCTGACCAACTGTGCCACCCAGGTGCCCCTTGTTTGGGGACTCTAACCCATTTCTGAGCTATGAAGCTTCTGCCTGTCTGGTGAAGACTATGGGTCCTTCTCAAAATAGTGCTTTAAAATGCACAAAATAGGGCAGCCCGGGTGGCTCAGCAGTTTAGCACCGCCTTCAGCCCAGTGCATGATCCTGGAGACCCGAGATCGAGTCCCACGTCGGGCTCCCTACATGGAGCCTGCTTCTCCCTCTGCCTGTGTCTCTGCCTCTCTCTGTGTGTGTCTCTCATGAATAAACAAATAAAATCTTTAAAAAATAAATAAATAAAATGCACAAAATAAAATGTATGGGATTACAAAAGAAACCAGTTACTTTGAAATACAGTAATAAAAATTTGAAAAAGCAAATTACCATTGGGAATTATAGGTGATTATGAATGAATTAAATAAGATCTAGTGTTGGTATAACTACCATAATTTCAAAACTAGGGATGGATAGAAACAATACTTCGAGATACATTTTGAGATAACGGCAACAACTGATCTGTGCACGTATCTGATGGCTGACAGTCACCATCAAGGGCCTTGGGACTAGGGATGCATGGGTGGCTCAGCAGTGGAGCGTCTGCCTTCAGCTCAGGTTGTGATCCCGGGATCCCGGGATCGAGTCCCACATCGGGCTCCTTGCAGGGCGCCTCCTTCTCCTTCTGTCTATGTGTCTGCCTGTTTCTCTCTGTGTATCTCATGAATAAATAAAAATCTTTAAAAGGGGGGGAGGGCTTGGGACCAAATCACCTGTAGTACCATTAGCAGCAGCATGGCTTTGTTGCCTATGTTTAGACCCTTAGATGTTAGCACAAAGATGAAACAGTTTTCCCTCAAACTCCTTGGAATTCCACGCCCCAGTTAAGAACCCTATGACCCAGGAAGAACAGGTCAGCAAGTTATGCTAGAACGGGACAGGACTGCCCAGAAGGGGAGGCTGGAGACACAGGGCCAGGGCCATCAAGGCCACAGGAGGCTCCTGGATGGGACTTTGAAACTGGTTTTGGGTTTGATCCAAAGACAGACGAGGAGGAGGAGAGGGACTCGGGAAAGTTGTAGAGGGGTAGGGGAGCCATCGATGGCACACACACCAGAGCTCACAGGGGAATTTCAACTATTACCAGCTCTCTCTGGAACACAGGAATGGGGTCTCAGAAGGGAAGGAACTCATCCAGAGCTTGGTGGCAGGAAGTGGCAGGCCCCAGGGAAGACAGTCATGTGTGAATTCTGAGCCTTGGCCCATCCCCATGCACCCCACAAGTCACAGCGTACCTGAGGCTGGAGGACACCCCACACTGTGAGGGATGGAGCTCAGGGGAGAGAGAGAAAGCTGAAGCTCGAAAACCAAATGGCCTGGCTTCTTCACTTGCTAACACGTGCCGCTGAGACATTCACTTCATTTGTTTGTGCCTTCGTTTCTGCATCTGCGGAATGGGAACAGTGGTCATTACCTTGGGACAATCACCTGAAGCATGAAGGGCCCAAAGCCTGGCACGGATTAGCCCTCGGGACACTTCTGCTGTCCTTAGCAGTGCTTTCTCCTTGAATCAGCAGTGACCATGCACCCCGGCCCCCTCCTTGTCTCTGACCCAAGAATTCCAGGGGAGTTGTGGGGGGAGGGGGAATGCCAGGGTCCAGAGCAGCTGGCCTGCCCTTAGTCCCCGGGGAGGATGAATAACTGGGCCGGCAGTGCTTGCAGGTGAGGAAGCTGTGGAGAACAGCAGCTTCAGCAGAACCAGCCTCCCGCTGAGGGGAAGGAGGGGTGGGTCTCTGGGCGAAGGTCAAGGTGGCCCCACCCCCAGGGCCCAAGAGTTCTCGTCCAGGGTGAGGAGGGGTGGTGGAAGTTTCACGATGAGAAGGTGAGCCTGGCATCAGGCTGACCTGGCTCTACAGCGGGGCTGCACAGGCTGCATGCTGTTCCACTTCAGGGGTGCCCTTCCCCTAGAAGACCTGGGAAACGCCCTCGGACCTCTGCAGTCTAGAGGCTTTGCCTGTGTTCCATCCTGGCTCTGACACACCCCAGTTCTGTGACCTTGAGCAAGCCACTTACCTTCTCCAAGCTCATCTAGAACCTGGAACACACCCACCTTGAGGGTCATGTAACAACAAACCTGAAAACACCCAGCTCCTAAAAGCTAATGATTCTCCTACCCTCTCCTTCCGGTGGCCCCGTGACACAGGAGGCTGACTATCTGACTTCCATTTCTGCTCCAGGTCCCCTCCTAGACTCGAGGACCCTGCAAAAGAAAGGAGAGCTTCTGGCACCCAGACTTGAAAGACTAGGACTCAGGGTTTACTCCCCAATTCCCTGCCCAACTTGGGGCTGGGGAGGAACCTTTCACATATTCTGTAAATGTGTATGGAAGCTCCTGGAACTGTGTGATGCAGTGGTCATGCCAGGCTTGCTGGGAAGGAGATCTCCCACTATTCCAAAACTTCCCAGTGGTTCATTCATTCAGGGATTTGCCTTGAAACCTGCAGGGTCCTGAGCTCCAAGCACCCAGATGCTGTGCTTGGAGTGACTGACTCTGTCCTCATGAAGCTCACCTTCTAAGAGGGGAAACAATCGATGATGACATTGCCATACAGATTCTTGCAGGCTCTGACAAAGTCAGGGAAGGCCAGGGTGCCAGGCAGGAGTCCATACTGGCCACACCCCAGTCTCATCTAGATGAGCCCCCATCTCATCTAGGGAATCCTCACTTTGGCCCCCTGCAGTCCCCTCAGGCTGAGTGGGGCCTGATACCCGACTCTAGACTCTCCGGTCCCTCCAGTGTGGCTGGATTATAATGTCTGGCCTCCCAAGTTCAAAGACAAGGCGATGAGTACCTTGCTTTGTTTTTTTATTTCCGTTTTGCTGTGAGACCTTGGACTTAAGAATCAATGACTGTGGGTTTCACAGGCTCTCCCTACACTGTTACAAATGGCCTGTTTTCTCTGGGGGCAGGAGGTGACATGACTCTGGGACACCAGGCTTATCCTTCCAACAGCTCTGCTACTCCCCTCCCACCCACAGGAAGCCTACTGTGCCTACTCCATCATCCTCATGGCACTCTTCTGGTGCACCGAGGCTCTGCCCCTGCCTGTCACTGCCCTCTTCCCCATCATCCTGTACCCCATGATGGGCATAATGGATGCCTCTGAGGTAAGCCTCCCCTTTCACAAGAGGAATGGCTTCTCCTATGGAGGGAGTCTGCCCTAAAACACTGGTGGTGGAGGAAGCCTCATCACAGGGCAGAGCACACAGAAGAGGAGTCCTTGCCTCTGCTTAACAGGTCAGGGAGCACTAAGTGAGGAGTCAGCTAGAAGAGGACCAGGGAGGGAGTGGGTGAGGGTGCATTCTAGAAATGCTGAGTGCATGGTTGGTGTTGAGAGGTCATTCAAAGTGGAACAGGTGTAGGCCAGGGAGGTAGAAAGGCCTGGTGACCCAAGAAAAGGGGCCTTGAAAGTCAGCTAAGGAACTTGTATTCCCCTGGGTCAATGGCTTTGAGACATGAGCGTGCATGTTTCAGGATCACCTGCAGGGCTGGCTGAAACACAGACGGCTGAGCCCTACCCCCAGAGTTTCTGATGCCATAGATCTGGGGCAGGGCCTGAGCATTTCGTTACTAGCAAGTTCCAGGTCAGAGATGATGCCAGCTTATGGACCACACTTTGTGAACCACTGCTGTAGTTTCTAGAACCTGTGCTAAATTCTCTCCCAGTCAATGGCTTGCAACATGACTGGAATCAGGCTAGATTATCTCCCACTCATTCCTGAGGGGAGAAAGGAGTTTGGCAGGCAGAGAGGGACCTGGTTAATTTTAAATGGAACATAATCCAAAGACCATTTCCACTTGATTCTGAGAGCCCAGGAGACCAACCTGTGTTTGTGGGAATGTCACTGACTGTAGCCTTATAAGCCCAGGGACATGGGGGAGACCCCTTTCTTCCTCTTAGCTGTCCCTGCCTGCCAGGTCTGCATCGAATACTTTAAGGACAGCAACATCCTGTTCGTCGGGGGGCTGCTGATGGCCATTGCTGTGGAGCACTGGAATCTGCACAAACGCATTGCTCTCCGTGTGCTCCTCATCATTGGGGTGCGGCCTGCCCTGTGAGTTCCCACAAACCGGATCAGAGAACCTGGACGGGTGGTGTGCTGGGGATCTGGTCCCTGAAGGGATGCCAGAACACCAGCCAGTGTGTCCATCTGTCTGTCCCTAGACTGCTTTTGGGCTTCATGTTAGTCACAGCCTTCCTGTCCATGTGGATTAGCAACACAGCCACCACAGCCATGATGGTGCCCATCGCACATGCCGTTCTGGAGCAGCTCCACAATACAAGCAAGGATGTGGAGGAGGGCAGCGACAACCCCACCTTTGAACTCCAAGAAGGGAGTCCCCAGAAGGACGTGACCAAACTTGGTGAGAAAGATGAAGCCCGCCCCTGCCCTGCTCCAACCCCCAACTCCTGGGGAGGGTCTGAGGTGATGTCCATGACCAGGGATGGTCATCTTGGAGCCTTCGGGGAAAGAAAGGGGAGGCACGTGGTGACCAACTTGTTCTGGTTTGTCCAAGGCTGTCTCTAGTTTTAAAATGAAAAGTCCAGGCAGCCCCGGTGGCGCAGCGGTTTAGTGCTGCCTGCAGCCAGGTGTGTGATCCTGGAAACCCGGCATCAAGTCCCACATCAGGCTCCCTGCATGGAGCCTGCTTCTCCCTCTGCCTGTGTCTCTGCATCTCTTGCTCTCTCTGAATGAATAAATAAATAAATCTTTAAAAATAAATAAATAAAATAAAATAAAATGAAAAGTCCCAGGCACCTGGGTGGCTTAGTGGCCGAGCGTCTGCCTTTGGCTCAGGTTGTGATCCCGGGGTCCTGGGATCAAGTCCTGCATCAGGCTCCCCACAGCGAGCCTGCTTCTCTCTCTGCCTCTCTCTGTGTGTCTGACATGAATAAATAAAATCTTTAAAAAAAAAGAAGAAGAAAGAAAGAAAGAAAGAAAGAAAGAAAGAAAGAAAGAAAGAAAGAAAGAAAGAAAGAAAAAATAAAATAAAATGAAAAGTCCCGTGTTCTGAGAATCCCTTGAGTGCAGGGCAAAACAAGATGCTAGGTCACCTGGGGAGGCAGAAAGCTGGAGTCTGGGTGTGCTGTAAGGGATGCAGCCACTGCACACCCTCTGCTGCCCTCACCCCTAACCCAGATGGAGGCTGCTCACTGCCAAGGCACCCTCAGAGGCTGTGGAACTCCAGCCATGCTCCCTGGAAGTGGTCCTGTGCCCACCCTCCACCTGAGCTCTCCTTTTTTCCCAGATAACGGGCAGGCCCACCCTGCCCTGCCTGCTTCTTCAGAGTCAACCGTGTGGCAGAAGAGGGAGCAGCTCCGCTTTAGCCAGGGCATGAGCCTGTGCGTGTGCTACTCGGCCAGCATCGGGGGCATCGCCACACTCACTGGCACTACACCTAACCTGGTGCTGCAAGGCCAGGTCAACGCGTGAGTGCCTGGGGGCAGAGGCTGGGGGAGGGGGTCTGCACTCTCACTGGGAGGTGGACTGGGCTGGATGGCCACCAGGCAACTGCATGCAACAGCCCAGCCCTCATCTCCCTTCAGGCTCTTCCCCAAAAATGGCAACGTGGTGAACTTTGCCTCCTGGTTTGGCTTTGCCTTCCCCACCATGGCCATCTTGCTGCTACTCTCCTGGCTGTGGTTGCAGATCCTCTTCCTGGGGTTCAAGTAAGTGGTGGAGGACGTGAGAGAAGCCCAGGAGCCTGCCCTTACCCTCTGGGAGGTTCCAGTTGAGTAAGCAGGGAGCCACTGTGGGAGAGGATATCATCACCGTCCTATTGAGGCCTCTACCTTGTTAGGTCTCTTGTGCCCGTGGCCCCCCATTTGAGGGATTTACTGGGTGGAGAGTATTAGCACAGGGCAAACTGAGGTTCCATGAGTGGGATACAACCAGATTTGTCAATGCTCACATTACAAACTGGGCCTCCTGATGCCAGGCCAGATCCATTCCATCATGCTCCACAGTCCTCTGGTAAATGCTTAAGGAGCACACAGTGAGCATGGTCAGTTACAGAAGCATTTGTTGTGCTCTTACTGTGCATCTGGCCCTGTACCAGGCACTGAGGATCCTAGAGAACGTGAGGCATGGGCTCTGTCCTTGGAGTGCACCTTCTAATGGGCGACGGTCAGGTGGAGGCCGTGTCAGAGGAAAGCCCTGGTGCCGTGGAGATCCCAGAAGGCCCCCAGAGGACATGATGCCTGAGCTGAATCTTGTAGAACTAGAACTCAGCCAGGTAGAGAACAGGGTAAAGGCATTGCAGGGAGCAGGAACAGCTTATCCAAAGGTGCAGAGGCATGAAAGAGCATGTGTGTGGGGAAACTAGTTCTGTTGATTGAAACGTAAAGAGCTTGTGTGCCACATAAAGGGCTTGGACCTTGTCCT